TCAGTATGACACAGCTGGTGAAGGACGGAGCCAGAATCACTCCCAAGCTTCTGTTGGCAAGCAGCCCTGGCCAGGTTTAAAGCCTGGATTTGGTCAGTGGTTGCCAAATGCAGATGATCTCAACAAACAGTCATGGGGGATTGTTTAATAATGAATATATACAAATGTTTTAGGTAAGGCTCTTTTGGGTATAAACAGCTTGATTAAAAAATATATTAAAAAGTTAATGGGCTCAGGCTAGATAAAGCAGATCATTGCAAATTTGAGATTAAGGCAGGGAAGAGCTGTTTTGTTATTTTCCAAACAGTATATTTTGAAGTTTCTGCATCATTTCCAGGCATCCCCTCTTTCTGGTCCAGTTCAGGAGAGAGCTTGTCAAGTTCTTTGTTGAGTGTGCCATCACAGGCTAATTTCATATATTCTAACCACAAGGAACAGGTAGACATGGCAGTCACCGTGATGACATCTTTGAGAATCTGCTCATGTTGAAGCAGTACTGAGCCTCTTATCATGGTGGCTTTCTAATACCATGCTTATCTAACACCAGCATCACCATCACTCACAGCATCCATTGTGCTGTTCTGAGAAATGGCTCTCAGGGCCTCTCTTAAGGGTTCGTGGTTATCATTAATGCAGTGAGCTCTCTCATAGGCTGCAGAGCAATGTGATTGATCATTTGCTCTGTGGTCATGCTAAAGATTTTATAGCATAAATGTAGAATGATCCATTTTGTCTTTACCACGGCCCTCTGAGTTTATGACCCCTCTTTCGGTGTTGTTCTTATGCTTGTCTTCCACATGTGAACACCATTGGAGAAGGTAGATGAGGGGACTAGGGGATGAAAAAGAAGAGGATCCAAGGAATCACTCTAGTTGGCTTAGGAAGCTAATTGAGATCAGTCATGGGGAGCACATTGTGATTCCAACATTCTAAGGCAAGAAGGGAAGTTGTCACTACTGTGTAAATTCTTCAGATTAACTGAACAGGACACTCACCGGGGACTACCCAGGATGTGATGTGGAGCCTCTGGAGGGAATGGTGCATTCCCCTGGTGTCACATAAAGGGAACACACTATTTGCAAGCAGGGAAAGTGGCACTCAGAGCATCTCTATTCCAGGGTGTTATGAGTGACAGGTAGCTATGTGAGCACCCTCACATTTGATTGATTCATAGGTGTACCCTAAAGGTTGCAAATTTGAAACTCTGAAGTCATTGTCTGAAGTGACAGAGTCACCCCAAACCAGTGTTTTGGGAACATTTTAGCAGCATAATTTCATGAAAAAATGATAGCCTGTACAGCAATCTGTTTGTCAAGAGTCTCTCCTGGAGCCAGAGCTGGGTCAATAGCATTCTAATATCTCATAGGCTGGAGTCTTGGCATACCTCAGGGATTGAGTTGATCTAAAAATGAGGCAAAACAGAGGTTGTCAAATATTTTCTTCAAAGGATCAGATATTAAATATTTTAGGGTGAATCCTTTGATATAACTCTCCAACTATCTGTTGATGGCTTTATATCATGTGATGGTAGCCATAGACAATCATAAATTAAGGAGTATCGTGATGTTTCAATAAAATTTTATTTCTAAAACACATTTGTCTATCTGTGCAAGTTTTTCAGCTCCTGGGGGCAGGATTTTAGAGTGTCCTAGAAGGGATAACTGGGGGCTGACTATTGCTATGAGCTGATACAAAAATAAAAAGATGAAGTGACAGAGCAGAGGGGGGAACAGAGGTAGTTTTCTTAAGATGTAGAATATAGAAGAAAGTATATGATACTGAAAAATAGAGTAGTATATGAAGCAAAGGGGTAAAGGTTGGAAAAACAAGTATGTTGGTGCAGTTGGAGCAGACAGACTGTAGGAAATAGCTAAAGGGCTTCTTGGTGGCTGAGATTTTCTTGTGAAGATTAAAGGAGGAAATAGCTGTGAAAATGTTTTGCAGACTATACAAATGCCAGCATGTTGTTTCCTAACTTAAAGACACTAGAGTATGCTATCCTATGCTAATGTGGTTTTCTTTTTATTTTCTTGCTGTATGTCTTGGAAAGCCACTTGGGTATTTCCTTTTCTTTTCTTCTTTGCTTTTCTTTTCCAAGAGTTAGATTGTTTGATCTGTATTTTAAAAAGATCTCCGGATCTTTTTAATGGAGGGCAGTCCAGGGTGGCTGAGCTGAGGGGAGATGGTGATGATTGATAAAGATGCTGCTTCAGCCATAACTGTGAGTGATAGATGACGAGAAACTGCACCAAGGCAGCAGCCATGGAAGTAGAGAGGGTGGATCTAATGAGATAGCTGGGAGGCTAGTTGTCTTCACTTGATGAAGCTTTGGTGGCATGGGCAGAGATGCACAATGTACTTCAGTAAAGACCAGATATTTTATTTGGGCTATATGGTGGATTTCAAAGCTAGGAGCAGCACTGTTCAGTTATGTTCTGGCCTGTGGCAATCAAGAAAGTAAAGCCGCAGGACACAACAAAGGTGTAGACTGAGTTTGGAGTTAATTGAGAGCATGGTGTTTAAAAGAAGCAGTGGCCAAGACCTGAACCACTAGACTGAGGGTATAGCAACCTTCAGCTTCCCGAGGCATAAAGAACACCCATCAATTTCTAGGGTATGAAGACCAGTGAGAGGGCTTTCACCTAAGCCTCCCATCCTGACATTTCAGGCTCTAAGAATGGCAGAACTTCCCCTAACCTTGAACTTGCACAGCACTCTTGCCTGGAAGTAACCTTTGCTTTATGATCGTGATAAAAGACATGTCCCAAGGAGGACTTGGCACAAGTCTAGGCACATTTTGAGCCATGTACCCAGTGGCAGATGTATACTGAAAGTCTGCCCTCTGTTGCAGAAAAATCATGAATATTCAAAGCCTTTGGAAGGAATATGCATGAATATTCAAATTCTTCTTCATAAGTTGATGGTAGGCACCTACATTCCTGGCTCCTCTACCTACAGAGCAGACCACTGTGTTCTCTGCTGTAATACACTTTCTCCCCAGCCATTGCTGATTCTGTGCTACAGAAGACAAAGGACCCACCTAATTTGTAACATGTCTTTCACGGTGGTTGTGTACAAACACCAAAGAGAGGGGGAATGGCAGGCCTCTGCCATAACTGCTTATGCTCTCAATGACCGTGGAGAACAGGAAGTCTACAGGGATAGGCTTCCTGATTTTCACTTCCTGCCCTCATCTGCTTGCTGAGCTGGGAGAGGTCTCCGACATGGTGGATTCAGAACATGGATCCTTCTGTAGGTCAGCAACTTTGGCTTTTCAAGTGAGAAGAGCAGGTCTTTGTCTTGGTCAATGAAACTTATCAAACAAACTCATCTCTAGCTTCTACTGTCACACTTCACAGTGTGGTTGAGGTAGGATTTGATACAGGTAGGGATGAATGGCCATCTTCCCTGTGGTTGTTTCAAAGTATTTGGCCCCCATAAGCTCACAGGAAGTGGTATCAGGAGGTGTGGCTTTGTTGGAGTGGGTATAGTCTTATTGGAGGAAGTGTGCCACTGTTGGGATGGGCTTTGAGGTTTCCTATGCTCAGGACACCACCTAGTGAATCAGTCAACTTCCTGATACCTGCAAACCAAAATGTAGCCAGTACCATATCTGCCTGCATGCAACAATGCTCACCATCATGATGATAATGGACCGAACCCCTGAAACTGTAGATGAGTCACGCCAATTAAATGTTTTCTTTATAAGAGTTGCCATGTTCGTGGTATCTCTTCACAGCAATGAAAACTCTAATTAAGACATTCTCCTTCCCATATCACACCTATCCACCTCCCATACTCATAGCATATGATTTTATTAGTGACTTTCCTTGCTGCTGTGATCAAATACTTGAGAAAAAGTAGTTTAAAGGTGGAATTTAGGCTTATAGTTTGACATGATATGCTCCATCAAAGAGGGAAAAGCCCATGCAGGAACTGAGGTGGCTGGTCACATTTATATCAGTAGCCAAGAAACAGAGATCAGACAGGAAATGGGGTTGAGCTATCAAATCTCAAGGTCTACTCTCAGTGACTCATTTCCTCCAGCAAGCTTCCATCTCTTAAGAGTTTCCCAGCCTTTCTGAGGAACCAAGCTTTCAAATACACAGTCCTTTGGGGGACACTTCACATTCAAGCCACGATAGTGGTTAGGACTGGGCTCTGGTATCTTCCCTTTGTAATACATGATCCATGCTTTAGAAACACAGTTCAATTTTCTGTGCTTCAGTTCCCCCAGATGTGACATTACCTTCCTCAAAGATCAATTATGAGGTATCTGAACAAGGTAATATATGTGAAGCATTTGAAATGCTGACTGGCCACTAATATGCAAATATGCACTGTGTAAATATTCTACCAAAGGCTGCAGGGTTCCCACTCACAGAGCTTCTGACTTCATGAGTTGCTTTCTTCTTCTCCTTTGCTGGGCTCTCACTGGTGGGCCTAGTATTTGATCTCTGGAATGGAACAGATAGGAGACATTTCAGTGGGGGGACATTTGGATTTCTGATTGCTGTGTTAGATTTACTATTTCTGCAGGATCAGGGCACTGCCAATCAAGTGACTTTTGACCCTTCTTGTTGACTAATTTAAGCAAATGATAAATTTCTCCTGAATCACTAACTAACAGGAAGATGAGTCACCCTTGGATGGATGTGAGCCCAGCTGGACAGATGCACATGCTGTGTGCCATTGGTGGGCACTGCGAGAGTCAATGGGGTGATGGGCATGCAGATTTTTAGGGGGCAAATACAATTATGATTTAGTGTTTTCCAGATGTTCAGAGCCTGGATACAAAGGCAGAATAGTCATGATGTGAAGATATAAGAAATAGAATTCATCAAATAGAGTATGTGTGCATGTGTGTGTGAGTGTGTTTGTAACTATGCGAACTCTCTAAGCATTTGAAACATACCATGTGGCTTGTAAGATAAACAAAACTGATTTGTCATTCTTGTTCCCAGGATCCAATTCTGTGCTATATCCAAATGTATAAATAAAAAACAAAACAGAAGTGTAGATGATCTCTTCTCAGGACTCATTTGCATCTGTAAATGAATGTGAGAGTGTGCTGGAGAGCTGGTCCAGGTGAGGACTCACCATTGTTGGCAGGGATTTGAGTGTAGTCAATCAATCAGAAAGTGACTGGTAAGGATTTGTGTGTACCTAGGCCTGGGTGGATTCAGCCATGCTGGGCGGCCTAGGGGGTGTGGAGTCAGTTACAATGGTGTCACTTTGAATGCCCCATTGAGGTGAGAAGGCACAATTAATACTCAGAAATGCTTTGAGAGAAAGACTCTAAACATAGATCAGTATTGAGGAAAAGAGACTGAAGAATGTTAGAAAAACATGACAAAGCTTTAAGGGAAAAAGGAAGTAGCTCCTTGGAAGAGATAAAGTTGGGGTGAGCCTAGGAGCACACTTTTGTTCAGTGCCTTAAGCATTTACTTATCAGCCACATTAATTGAACAGTACAAATGAAACAAAGCAACCAGCCCTTTGGTTTTCTGACTGATTTTTTTTCTCTGCACAATTGTACACTGCATGATGCCATCCATTGGTTGAAACTGGGATTGTACATCTGCAGGTGAGGCTAATGTAAGATTATAGACTGGAGCCGGGGACAATCTTTCCTGGAGAAGCTGAAGTGTGTGCCAATTTTATATTAACATTTACATCTGAAATAAGGGGGATGTTTGCCAACATCTTGAAGGCAGTTTTAAAGCACCTCACATATATTACAGAGAAGGGATACAGATGTGGGTAAGGCAGCTGCAATGGATTTTCTTTTCTGGATCAAAGATAGAATGCTAATTATCTGTGAAGTTTCTGGAGACCATGGGATTTTGTTTTCTCACAAAACTGCAGACTAAATTTGTTTCCTTTCACCTCCCCAGCCTTCCAATAACAACATGTCCTGGCTCTATGAAAAAACTGATCTGTGAAGCTGCAGATTGAGGACTGATTGCTTTGAGAATACTGGTATGCTTTTGTCTTTTGTTTGCCAGATTTTTAGGATTGATTTTTTGGTTTGGATATTAGCATTTAGCTACTTAAGAAAACACACACGCATTCTTGGCTGCGGTACAAAATTTAAAATATGACATCTTTCAAAGGATTGTATCTGCCTGTGTGCACACACATTTCTGTGTTAAACCCTGAATAAGGAATTGTTAGCCCATCATCATTATATTGTTATCATTTTGTTACACAAGCTCAGTGAAGATTCTTCAGTAGAATCTGTACACTTAGCTTTGAGTAGACATTCATAATCCTACTTCATTCAACAAAGACATTCAATGCAGCCTTCTGGACTGGAGAGATGGGTCAATAGTTAAGAAAGTTTGCTGCTCTTCCAGAGGACTCAAGTTCAGTTCCCAACATCACAATCACCTGCACTCACATGGTGACATACACCCAGACATATAGGCACACACACACACATACACAGATACACACACAGACATACAAACACATAGATACACAAACACACAGCCAAACTTATACACACATACATACAGACACACACAGACAGACACATACAGAGACACAAATATTAAAAGAGAATACTAAAATGCCATTAATCTCTCTATGCACAAATATTTTATTTTCCTTTCTTTTTATTCAGAACTTAACAAATCAGGAGTGGAAATTTTTTGGAAGCTGAGGCATGGACTTGGAGTGGTTGAGATATTTAAGATTCATATTTTTCAATCTGTTGATGAACAAGATATTGGAATTCTGACTTGGTGAGGCAAGTGGGCATCGTATACACCTAATCCTATGTGGAAGGTCAGATTATGAATTATTTTATTTGAAAATAAGCTTAAAGTGGATGCATTGCTAAGTCCAATATGATGTGGGTGTACTGAAAAGCAAACACTATGGAAATGAGAAAAAGCAAAAGGAATTGCTCAAGATTTGAAGGGCAGCAGACTAGACATGAGTCTGGATGTTCATTGGTCTTTGTGTTCTATTCTATTCTTTCTCCTGTTAGTTCTCTTAGATTAAAGTTACAGATGGTTGTGAGCTACCATGTGGTTGCTGGGAATTGAACTCAGGACCTCTGAAAGAGCAGCCAATGCTCTTATCTCCCCCAGTCCCATTGTTTAATATTTTTGTGTGATTTCACAGGTGTCATTGAGAGGGGAGATTTTTAAACATTTTGACTCCTGTGAATGGAAAGAGTTCCAGTTCTGTAATGTGGCAGAGAAGACATCAAATCTCAGGTTTTCAGAGAAATTCATGTCTAAGACTGGCCAAGAAAATGCAATTCTCTAGCCTTCAGTGTCCAAAACAGTATGGAGGGGAATTTCTTCTACATGTAGTATCTATTTATGACACCATAAATTTGTAAAATGTTTTTAAGCTTCCATGTATTTATTTTTGTCTTGGTAGTTTGGGATTCAATTTGAGAACTTGGGCAGCACTCTACCATGGAGTGCAGCCCAGCTCTGAGATAGCAGCTTAATAGAGAAAACAAAGTCCAAATTTAAGGAAAGATTGATGCAGTATCTTTAAGCATATGTTTAACAATGCTGTTGAGAAATAACTTTAAAACTTTGTCCAAATCTTGGAAACTTAAAGTGTCCTCTGTAGGGGGTTTGGGTCTTTGCTTTACCATCTGCTGTGGCAGCAGACCTTCCCTAGGTAGAGATGTGACATCATCATCTTCATTTCCTAATGTATTGTCCACCAAATCATGGTTCCAGGGAAGTGTTGACCGGAGGACAAATGGCCATGATCTAATTCATTTGGGAAATGTGCTCTAATGGCATGTGTCCATCTAAGGGCTTTCTAACTTTTATAGCACAGGGGTGTGCATGAAAATTCCTGCTGTACAGAAGTCTTATGCGGTTACGTCTATCTTTCTCAGCTCATTTGATGAGGAAGAATCATCTTTGTTTTTTAATACCATCTCTTAGCATCCACCATGTCTCTTAAGTTACAAATACAGAGCAGGAAGGAAACAGATGGACACATTCCATTCTGCTCTACAGAGGTCCACTGCATTTCAGTTGTTGCATTTTAGATAAACTTTAATACTATGCAGCCCCCCTTAGATTCATGTTGCCATCATTTGTTCACTATTTACTCAATAAATACATTTTCCTGTGTTTCCTAAATGTGGGAAGACTGAATTATTATTTTAAATTTATCAAATGCCCTATGGGGGAGAAATCTTATTCCAAACAGCTATTTAATTCCGTCTACATTAAATAGATTCAATTTTTCACATTATTTCAGGACCCCCAGGCTTCCAGAAAGATAATTGAGTTACATGCCAAATGTACCAACTTAAATTAAAGCATCAATTAATACAATAGCAACAACTGTAAAGACAATGGCAACCTCTGTTCTTTTCACATGAATCGTGTTAGGTAAAGCTTACTTTGAAAAGCAAGGTTCCATTTGGTGATACATAAAACTACCAATGTTTACCAATATTTTTTTGTTTTTTGGTTTTTCGAGACAGGGTTTCTCTGTGTAGCTTTGGAGCCTGTCCTGGCACTCACTCTGGAGACCAGGCTGGCCTCAAACTCACAGAGATCTGCCTGCTTCTGCCTCCCGAGTGCTGGGATTAGAGGCGTGCACCACCAAAGCCTGGCTAAAACTACCAATGTTAAACAAAACACCCAACTTTGAGCTCTTCAATGCAAGAGTTGATCTGTTCTGATTGTTCTTTCTCTGATGGGAACAGGACAAAGATGGAGGTGTTCCTAGCAATGAGATTCCACAATGTAGAAATGCAGTGTGTTAAACATGAAAGTGTTATTCAAAATGGGAATCAGTATACCACAAGATCCAGAAATTCCACTCTTAGGCATAGACCCAAAAGAAGCATATTCATACAACATGGACACCTGTTAACGATGTTCATCACAGCATTATTTGTAATAGCCAGAACCGGAAGCAATCTAGATACCCCTCAACTGAAGAATGGATAGAGAAAATGTGGTACATTTACACAATGGAGTACTACTCAGTGAAAACAACAACAACAACAATGGAATCTTGAAATTCGAAGGCAAATGATGGAACTAGAAGAAACCATTCTGAACGAAGTAACCCAGTCACAAAAAGACAAACATGGTATTACTCACTTATATATGGATTTTAGACATAGAGCAAAGGATTATCAGCCTACATTCCACTCTGCCAGAGAAGCT